CACACACACACACACACACACACACACACGCCTCAAATATACGTGGGTGTATTTCACACCCTTTTACAGGGTATTCTACTTTTCTAATGTCAGAAAATACGACATTCTCTCAACAAATCTGTCAAATCGACCTTCCTTCCTTCTAGAGTTCCCACGAACAAAATCGGTCGAAATGAAAAGCTTTTTGTCTACAAGTGTATTTAAAAGTCGGCTTGTCGCATATAGAAGTTCTTTCTAGTTTTTAGTAAACAAAGCCATTTTGTAAGTTCATTTGTTGCATGTTTTTCCAATTAGAATTCTTATGTTTTTGCTGTTTAGGCGCAAATACTTAAACTATTTCTCTTTCGCCCCAAACTCATAAATATTTATGCACATTCATATGTAAATACATACATACATATGTAAATACATAGATATGTCAATTAAGTGGCCGTGTAATTGATGAACCGTCATTGTTAATTGTGCATATCTGTCTACATTTTTTATTGTTTTATTTTTGTATTTAGCGGAACTATTTGATGCGAAAAAGAACCTTAAAATTAATATTTTCAACTAATTACAAGGACAATTAAAAGTTAATTTACACACGTTTTGACATATGTTTATGCATAAAGACAAGTATAAACATTTCTTTTAAATACTTTGCTCGATCAGATGATACCCTGCATACACGTCAGGGTATATATAACTTCATTTGTACTCGAATAACAACTTTTTTTTAGTTTATAAAATTTAATTTTATGCAAGTGAGCATAGTTTTTCTTCTTTTAAGATTCTTAAAAATATATTTTTTACATTTTAATTTGAATACACGCAAATTATTCTTATATTATGGAAGAATGTTGCCTGAGCAACTTTTGTTGGCCGGAAAAATTAGTTATGCGAAAACAGATTTTCGTATTTGGTTAACATTATTTTATTTTATATTAAACAATAACAAATAATGCAGTAATAATTAAATTAAATTAATTTATTTACTAAAATCGTTGGGAATAATTTTCATTTTAAGTTAGCTTCAGAATGCCACGAGGACATTTAGTTAAAAATTATTTTCCATTCATGTATGCATTTGTCAGTTGGAGCCACAGACTATTAACTAGATATTTATTAGGCAATTTAAATGCCAAATAGAAATTGTACATATCTGAAATGGACAGAAACGAATGATATTTGACCAAAACAGTCGACGGGAAATGGAAAATGGGAAATGTCGGCCAGTTGGCATCACAATAAACATCAGAATGGCAAACAAAAGCAAGAAAGAACTGCCATTTGCGGCAGATCGAACATGAAATACTCTGCTAGACAAATGAAAAACTTATTTCCGCTCTATACTTATACTTTACTTTTATAGAAAATAAATCATCTCTGCGTTACACATTTGATGACAAGCTGATAATAACCCAAAAGGAAAGTGTGCTACAACACTTTTGAAATGCTTTTCCATAATGTTCGCCTGACATAATGTTTATATTGAAAATATTTAGCAAACGGGCCGCGTATTTAGAATATTCAATGAATTAAAAATAGTCGGAATGTAATGCTAAATTTAGACAAATGATTAATTGCGCTAATGAATCGCAGACATAGACTATATATAGGCTATGTACAAATCCATATAATCGATATTATATGAATCTTTGTGGCTTGTAGCACTTAACTAATTTGACATTTTGATTGTTTTTGATAGCCCACGTGGCGCCTCTGGGGCGAGGAGCACGAGAAGAATGCAATATTCACGGTCTATTTGAAAAAGGTGCGCTATCATCGGCCCACGCCCACGGCGAGCAATGTAAGTTATCATGGCAAGCGATGGCAACCAATTACCTTGATAGCCTTTTTCAATTTAACAATTTTCCAATTTTCCAATTCTCGTTTGGCTTTGCAGCAGGACTCGGATGATGAAATTTCACATCTGGAATGGGAGACGGTGCGCGTGCGTTTCGTTAAGGCCGCCACATTGGCGCGACTCGTCGAGGCATTGGCCACAGATGACGGCGAACTGGAGTCCACGTTTATCAATGTGTTTCTGTCCACATATCGCACCTTCTCGACACCCAAACAGGTGCTCAGCCTGCTGACACAGCGCTACGATGCGCTGCACGAGAAGCACATGGAGGAACTGGAGCTGGCGCAACAGAATGGCACCGCCGAGGATTCCAGCTATGACTCACCCGCCTCCATACATGAGCAGCATAAAAAAACTCTAGTCTCGGCGCTGCACGTGTGGCTGGATGGTTTCCCAGAGGATTGGCATGAGGATAATCTGCAACAGATACTGGCATTTGCCAGCAAGCGTCTCAAACGCTCCGACCTGCACATTAAAGTGCTCAATCGCTTGGAACGGCTGCTCAGACAGCAGGTTTACGGAGTGGGAGGCGCCAGCAATCATGCCGATGGCAATGGCCTGCCCTGGCTGGCGGCTCAAGGTGGCCAGCAGACGCAGTTCATGATGCACACGCCGTGCGGCTCCACATACGATCTGAGCGAACAGTTCAGCGGCCTGTATCTGGCGCCCATCTATCGCGGACCCACGCACTTTATGCAGGCCTTTCGCTTCCCCCATGTGCCCGTACGTCACTTTGCCGAGCAGCTCACACGCATGGACACGGAGCTCTTCAAGCGCCTGATACCGCATCAATGTCTCGGCCATACGTGGGCGCGTCGCGACAGCGGCGGCTCCGAGACGGTGGTGGCCACCATCAACCAGTTCAATGCGGTGCTCTTTCGCGTCGTCTCCAGCATACTCATCGATCGTCTCAAGCCACAGGTGAGTCCAAGAATTCTTGGTTATACCAACTGTTAGCTTACATTCTTATCTTAATCCACAGGAACGCGCCTTAAACATTTCACGTTGGATTGACATAGCGCAGGAGCTGCGCATGCTCAAGAATTTCAGTTCCCTCAAGGCCATTATCTCTGGATTGAATTCCAATTCCATATATAGACTGTCCAAGGTGTGGGAGTTTTTGCCCAAAGAGCGCGTAAGTTTATTATTAATAAATATATAAATTATCATTAATATAAATTTCTTTTTCTTTTTTCAGATGGAAATCTTTACGGAGCTCGCGCGTATCTGTTCCGAGGACAACAATGCCTGGACATTGCGCGAGGTGCTCAAGCGTGAAGGAACTGCCAAAAATCCGGATCCGGCAGGCGATCAAACGGATCGCCATTTGCAAAAGCTTATACAGAATCTGGGCACACAGACTTCGCACGGGACCATACCGTATCTGGGCACATTTCTCACGGATCTGACCATGATACACACAGCCAATCCGGATTACCTCACGGAGGACAAGCTGATTAACTTTGACAAAAAGCGCAAGGAGTTCGAGGTGCTGGCTCAAATCAAGCTGCTCCAGGGCGCCGCCAACACATACAATCTGCAAGAGGATGCGCTCTTCGATCATTGGTTTGGCTCCATGCCGCTACTGGACGAGCGTCAGGCATTTGCGCTCAGCTGCCAGCTGGAGCCGCCGCCGCCGGCGCCTCGCAAATCGGTTGCCAGCACCAATACATCGCTAACGAATACGACTGCCTCGTCGACGGCCTCCATAATGGGCAGTGCTGGACATGGACATCGCAAGACTGACTCAATACACTCCAATTCGAGCAGCGGGGCCGGCTCGCAGTTCTATTGTGAGCTAAACAGCAGCACCAGCTCCAGGCACAATTCATTGGATCGGGATGCGCATCATGCATCGCTGATGTCCGCCTCGAGCAGCACCTCTAATTTGTCCATGGATTCGAGCAACTCGGGCGGCCGCCAATCGGCTCACAGCAAGCTCACGCATTCCCAGTCGCTCGGCAATGGCCTGAAGAATGCTGCTTTGGGCAATGGGACCACAAATGGCGGCTCGCCGCATACCCACATCAATGCACAGCTGGTGCAGCCGGCTGGCGTGGCCACCCAATCTGCGCCAGACTTCTACATCATCCGGGTGACCTATGAGACGGATAACATTGAGCTGGATGGCATTGTGCTGTACAAGAGCATCATGTTGGGCAACAACGAGCGCACACCGCAAGTGATTAGGAATGCGATGCTGAAGCTCGGCCTGGAGGATGATCCGGATCGATATACGCTCGCCCAGGTGCTGCCGGACAAGGAGCTTGTCATGCCAAAAACAGCGAATGTCTACTATGCCGTCAACACCAACTATAATCTCAATTTTATACTGCGTCCACGCAAGGATGAGGCTGGCGTCGGGGGCAGCTAGTCCGCACTTGTGCCCCTGTCCCAGTTGTGGTGCTTGGGATATGAGGGCGAGGAGTGAGGCAGAGATAAAGAGAGAGAGACAGAGATCAGAAACAGAACCGAAGAGCAAGATGGTGGAGCGCTTGTATATAGTATATAGAAAACACGATCCGCGCACATGACAACAAGTTTTAGATGATAATGTTTTAATTTATTTATTACACGAATAGACAGCAATCGAATAATATCGATAGGCTGGCACAGTTTGAGCTGCAAGTACAGTTGCGCTCTTGTGTGCAACAGACCGATAACAATTTGCTTATCGATTAACCCGTCAATTAGCCGGTAGATAAAACCGCAACTTTTGTAATCTCCGTTTCCGTAAATTCCCTTATAGTGTCGGAATCTTTTTTTCACATTCATGTGGAGTCTAAAACTGGAATAATTGCTGATATTTATAAAAACATATATACTACTTATCGATATTGATATTGTTTAAGCGATGGATATACAAAAATTTAGTACAATAATTTTGAGGTTAGCATCGATATTAGTTTTTGTGGAACCAGACCACACAATATGGCTCGTGGGCTGTACGAGTATGTACTTGATTTTGAAGCAAACAAACCAACATGATATGTATTTGTATAGATGTTTTATTGCTGTACGCGTATTGTACAAATAACAATACAAATTTGTAACTAAATATTTTATGGGGTTGCATAAAGAAACGATAATAATATAATCTATATGTATATACCATTTTGGTAAGCTCTCCCCATTTTACAGCTAGTTAAGATATTGTATTTGTTTGTATATTTAGCGATACAATTTAAAGAATTATACATATATATCGATACCTTTATGAAGGCATATTAAATATGAGCCCTATTTAAAACAAAATTAAGTAAAGAACGTGTGTAAATATAAAACCGAAAGTAAGCTGCCTTTTACTAACAATTAAGAATTTAAATCAAGTAAGTAAGTACTTAAAATCTGATATATAATTTTTAAAGGTAAACCTGTTTTCTTTTAATATCTTGATTTAATTTCGTTCCATTTTACATATTCTGAGTAAGAATTTAAATTTATGTATTCATCTTTTTATATAATCTTTAAATTTGCTTACCGTAGTACTTGTGAATAACACTTATGTAAGTGAAATGAATATCGCCGAATTCTTTTGAGACTATCAAAAAGCTATCTGAAAACCCATTCATGAATCTTTACGTACATCCGCTCGCAGTATGTCGGAACCAACAGGACCAAACTACTATATCAACCCGATATCGGTCGAAAAATAGCGAAGAAATTCAAGTCAAAAAATTTGTTTCAAAACCTTTAAATGGCCGTATCTCAAGTAAATGACGTCCGATCGCGGAAGGATTGGACGTTTTTTATTCGTGGAGGACCTTAGAATCGAACTGCATCAAAAGTTTTCAATTGCAGGACAAAGTCCATTTTCGTCAAAAACGTGATGTAACCCCTTGCCACTTTGGTCAATTTTGGACATCTTTCGGAATCAGGATATTTGAATGCGAATCGAAGGTCCTGGTCTGTACGAGTCGAAAGAGGTATATCTTTCCGATATCGGGCGGAAAATACCCGAGATATTCAAGTTTTAAGCTTTTTTGAAAAACTTTAAATGGCCATAACTTGTTTCAAAGACGTCCGATCGCGGAAGGATTAAGTGTTTTGTAATCGTGGTGAACCTTAGAATCGATCTGCATCAAAAGTTTTCAATTGCAGGACAAAGTCCATTTTTGCCAAAAACGTGATGTTACCCCTTGCCATTTTGGTCAATTTTGGAAATCTTTCGAAATCAGGATTCTTGAATGCGAATCGAAGCTCCTGATCTGTACGAGTCGAAAGAGGCATATCTCTCCGATATCGGGCGAGAAAAATCGAAGATATTCAAAATTTAAGATTTATTTCAAAAAGCCATAACACAAAATCTAGTTGACTGGTCGCGTCGGAGACCTATGTTATTCTCATAAACTCGACATAGGTTTTCATGATTTGGAAATATGTGGTAAGTAATAATCATGATGTGTTTTTAGTATATTCCAATATTTCCGTTTGTATGTTCATATGTATTGGTGCGTTCATGTATGTATATTCACCTTTATATACGCATATAAACAATAACCTTACTATGCGATTCTCATATCCTTAAGTAAACCTTTCTGGTTGTCATGCTTTTTTGTAGAAGCTCTTTATTAATAAGCTGTGTTCACAATATAATATAGTTTGTCCGGCTCATTCTGTTAAATTAATCGACTCTCTGCCCCTGCTCTTAATTAATTTATTTATTGTTTTTTTTTTCTCTAGGTATGTTTATTATAAAGTAAAACCTTCAAATTGATGTCAATCAAAAGTCAACAGTGCATGCGAGCTCTTGGGTAAGTGCATAAAAATAATTGAATAAGAATTATGTGTATTATAACTTTTTTTTATTAAAACAGACAAAGTTTTAAGTTGTATAGGTACTAATAATATTGACATAAATGTAATTTAAACGGGTAGCCATTATTTTCTGTGAATTTTGGTCGTACTTATAAATTGTTTATATTGGGATTATAACTAAATTGGTTTAAAATTTTGCTTTTGTGAATGCTAACAAATTGCTAGGCTTAAGTTGAAGAGGGTTGTTTACCTTTGATTATATCAGCACTGTCATCTGTCCGTTGCCAGAGCTGCAAATCCTTTCGCCAGACTGCAAGGAAGACCCGGAGATGCTTGTGTACAAGTTAACGGGTCAGCACATTCCATTAAATTTGCCCACGAGCGTCGACAGTAAAATAAATTACTTTCATTTTTTGTTATTTTTCTTTTTTTGGCTTTTTAGCAACTTTTCTGGCTTAGGCGAAAACAAGTTACACTTCCGCGGCGGGTCAAAGCTTAACTCGTAGCTCAAGTATATCCAGACGATGTCCCCCCCTTTTTTTTTTTAGATATAATTTGGTCCAAAGAAACTTTAATTAGATCACTTGAATGACAAACATAAATCTCTTGCTGCAATAATAAAAGCAGTCAAACAAATTGAGATTGAGGGCTCAAAACCGAATCCGTTTGGTAGTAGGGGGGGAGAGGGCGTGGAGTGGGCGGCTAAATGTGAAATGCTTGAAAAGCTCTCCATGCAAACTTTTACAAACTAGTGAAAAATTCTCAAGCCTCAAATGAAAATGGAAATGAGTTGAGTTGAGCTGACGTTTCTATGGCAGCCCGAAGGATGGCTGTTGGGGGGAGGAGGGGCATGGATGCACAGCTGGAGTATGGGGCGCGACAAGTTGACATCAAAGTGAGGGCAATGCTTGCAGCTGTGTGTAAGTGTGTGTGTGTGTGTGTGTGTGTGTGTGTGTGTGTGTGTGTGTGTGTGTGTGTGTGTGTGTGTGTGTGTGTGTGTGTGTGTGTGTGTGTGTGTGTGTGCGGTTAAAAAGCTCCGGGGTTAACAATGACGTCATAGTTGTGTGTTTGTGTGTGTGTGCAAACTATTTTGTCGTACGCATTTCGTCATAAGCGAGAATAATCAATAAACCAGGCAGACACAATGACGCAGCCAACGTGACATAATTCCAATATGAGCAGCACCCACAACGTTAGGTCGAGGGTCAGGTCGTGGGTCGCGGGTGGCGGTTCGTGGGTCGCACCTGGCCAACTGAGAAAAACGTAAACAGCCCCAACATGGAATTCAATTAGAAAACTTTTTGGCACGGCCAACAAATCTGTCGATGGTGCAGGGCCTGACGGCAGCGCAGCGCTTAGCCTTCAAGCGAACATCCACTCGCCCATTCCCCGTTGCCCGTTGCCCGTAACCCATGCCCTGGCCTCATCCCCGGCACGTGTACTCGTTTGTGCCCATCAACACCTTGGCGCAACCTTCGTCCAGCCTAAACCCGATTTCTTTTTTACTAGTTACCAAAAATGCTGCCCGCTGTGTCAGTGTGCGAAATGCAACAACGTGTCGTTCACACTCACACCTTTAACGCACGCTCTCCCTTTCTCTCTCTCAGTCTCGCTCTTGATTTTTCGTACAAGGCGCAGCTTCCAAATGGGATGGAGGTGGTTGCGTGCTGTTAGGCACCTGGCGAACTTCACTTTGGCTTTTGCTTTGCTTCCTTTGCCTTCAATATTCGCCTGGCTGTCAAGCGCTTTTTGACGTTTCGCGTTGCCATGTGTTGAGTTCTGCGCGTGGGAGAGACAGCGTGAAAGCGAGAGAGACAGAGAGAGAGAGAGAGAGAGAGAGAGAGACTAGCACTGAGAGAGTGTAAGCTTTCACCACAGCCATTGTTTGCCTGGTTCGTTACCTGGCCTAGAGACTGCTTCTTTGTTTTTCGGACTATTGAGTGAGATTTGTGCAGAAGTCACTAAAAAGTTGCTCCTTGGTGTGGGTGTGGTTGTGGGTGTGGTAGCTGGGCGGTTGAGTTAGTTGTTGGTGCTTTAACTTGCGTGCCGTTTACTGCAAGGTTTTAATAGGGCACCTAAAGAAATAGTAGATCACTTTGATAAGCAATTAAGCACATTAAACTTAGTGCAGTTCGTGAATTTTGCTGCAGGAAACGACCCTCTTCAAAGATTTCAAGCATTTAAAAAGTTACAAAAAGAAAGTGCCCTGCGCTTTACTTATATTATAGTATAAATAGGACACTACTGCACCTGGAAAAAAGGAAACGTGCCAAAGTAGTTTAATTTGTGACAACTGGATTGCCCTTCTTTGCGATTCTCACGAGGCCAAATCTTTATCGTCCCCCTCTTTAAAATATTAAGAGTTAATTTTGATTATCATAATTATTATTTATTTTTATAATTATAACTTTTACTGATCCTTCTTTTCTGTTTACTATCAAATGACATTTTTTCTAAGTTTAATTTTGTAGTAACTGAAACTTTTAATAATTACAGGGTATCTTTATATCGAACAGCTATTCATGCTTCATACATACTTGACTCTTTGATTTATATTTAAAATGCACTTTTCATAAAAGCAACTTTTATTACTCGCACAATTTACAGTGCACAATAACGACCAAATTTGAAAGATATTTCCGACTGTGCTTCTTTCTGCTTCTGTTCTTGCTTCTGTTTTCATTGTAAAAGTAACGAATGTAGCAAACGAAACGAAAACAAATACATGAAAGAAATCCTCTGAAAAAGCACACGGGACGGAGTCTACGGCTGCGGCTACGTTTACAGTAAAATAACAAAATCCAAACAACGCAAACTTTTGAGTGCAAACCCAACAAAACCAGAGACTGAAACTGAGACTGCGACTGAGCCCGTAAACCGCGATTCTAGACAGAGCTTTAATTTTTACTCGCCAATCAGTCGCCTGTCTAGGAGGGGTAGGGGGGGGGGGGTGGGCTAAAGGGAAGTGGTGGGAAAGTCGCGCTCACTTCGTTGCGTATTCGGGCCCGATTTAGTTGACTGACAAAGCCTACATTTTGGGGAAAAGCTCTGGGCCCGAGCACGAATGCGACCACGAGAAAGTTGGTCCCAAGTAGTCAGAGAAGTGGAGCCACACGGTCCAGACGGGACGCTCCGCAGCAATACAGCAAAATCGCGCACCTTGGAAACGCAAAAGCAGAGAATAAGAAAAAAAAAAAAAAGAAAATTAAATTCCACAAAAATATTTAATTTCAAAAGTGTTTAAGCCATGGCAAACGCCAAAGGCAATTGTGATTTGGGAGCGCAATTTGTGCGCCGTTAAGTGTAGGTTGAGAATGCACAAAATATGTAGATACATTGTGGAGCCTGGAGCCATGTGCACAGCATCAGCATCAGCATCAGCAGCAGCAGCAATGGGAATGCCCAGCGGATCTCTATAAAAATCAAAGTAATGTGCACGAAAAAAATCCAGCAAATGAAACAGTTTTTTGTAACAGAAAATAACCTTGAGTGCGAGATCCATAACTCCTTATTCAATAACAAAAACTGAAGCGCCGTGCACGAGTGCGTGTGCACCGAAAACACGGCCGTACAACATGGCGTATGGGTAATGAATGTCAGTGAATGTGCACGACATATGCAGTAAATGTGCGAGGCAGCGGTGTTTAAATATTGCATTATGCACACACTGTGCGCGTGTGTGTGGCATGCCACTTGTCTGTGTGTGCATGTGTGAATGTCTGCATGTGCTTGAGCTAGTGTATTGATGTGTGTTGTGTTTGTGATGGTGCCAAATGAAATATTAAGCCAATTAATTCACGTATATGCTCTAACTCGTATTTATGTGGCATTCGACAACAATATTAACAACAACAACAACAACAACAACAACAACAGCAACAATAACAACAGCAACGGCAACCACAACAACAACATGTTCGATGACGCATTCTAGAGTAGGGCAGAAGGTTAAATTACTACGGCAACGGCTACCGTCGAAATTCGCCACGTACAGCAATTCGGATTCGGAGTCCGAAAATATCAAAACCGATACCAATACCGAATCGCAGCACGCAACTTGGCGATTTATAGGCGTGCGACCAACTATAAGCAGTTTCAGCTGCCACCATCTTCACCTCCAGCTGCTGCTGCTACTCCTCCCTCTTTTGGTGCGTCGTCTTCGTCTCAAGCTGGCCAACAGCTCGGAGCTTGGAGCGCAAACACCACCCGCAATAACAAAGAGGCCCAGCAATTGTTGTTGCTGTTGTTGCTTTCGTGGTGAATTCGCAACAGACAACAATTCCATGTGCCATGGGCGAAACAAAAAAATCAAACTACAAATGTGACCAGAATAAAGAAACGTGAAATAAACAAATAAAAAAAAAAAATATATATATATATACATGTATATATTGATAAATAAAAATTAATAAAGATATTTAAAAAATTTTGCAAAATAATTACAAAGTACTAAAGTGTGTGTGTGCTGCCGCTCTGAGCGCAAGTTAACCAGAGAGTGGGAGAGCGTGACGCGCAAAACTCACCACGCATTGGCCTCTCGTCGTCGACGTCGACGACGGCAACATTGTAAAAAACTTTCACTCTCGGCACAACGTGGCGGCGGGCGGTGCGACAGCATCGAGCAGGAAGCGCATAAAGTGACACACAAACACGCAAACACACACACACACACACACACACACGCACATTCACATACAAATACAAATACAAACTGGAGAAAGCCCACAGAAACTAAACTAAACAACACGAATATCCGCAACATCAGCAGCAGCAGCGGCGGCAGCAAGGCAAAAGTTTTTGCATGCCAGCAGCTGACTGCTGCAGGAAGCGTGCCAGGAGGGCGGAACAGCAGCGGGACGGGCAGAGAAGCCACCAGTGAAGCGGACAGTCCGGTTCTGCCTGCCTGTCACAGCCATTGAATAGGCCTCTTCAACACGAACACTGGCACAGGATACAGGCCGAGCACACACGCAACGCAATTTAAATGTATCCTTAGAATTTCAAACAGGTGAGCGACATTCATTGAGGAAGTAAAACAAAAAAAAACATCAACTAGCAAAAAGTTAAATGTTTATGTTGGGAAATGAACTAAAAGGCGAGCACAGTCTATTCAAATATGCAGATAATGAATGCACGAAATGTTTTTAAAAGAAACTTATCAGCAATACATGTCTTTTTTAAATTAGTGACATTTTCTTAGAATGTTTGTTGTGATATAAACGATTGGATTTATTCCGAGTCAATTAGTGTTAAATTTTACGAATTCCTGGTATTTGCTGATTTTGAGAGAAGAAATATTCTAGCTAATAAGGATAATAGGGATCAATGGGTAATGCAGATAATATAGTATAATATAGTAGAAGTTTATCTAGAAAAAATGTCATTTCCGATCTGTGTTTTTGAGCGCTTCATTTAAGGTAGCCTGTACAAAATTATCAACGCCTAATATTGACATTTAATTGGAATATAGATCAATCTATCATCGATATTTAGAGATTTAATGCAAGCAATCCATTAAAGTAAAGCCTATAAAATCAGGATAATTTATATATGGATATGATAAATTTACTGCTCAAACAAATTGTTTGACTCTTTTGAGCAGACTTTTATTATATTTTTTGTTTAAGGATATATATTTTAAATGACCCACTTCTAATATCTACGGGATAGACAAGATCGAGCTCTAGCCGGCTTTATGTACATATGAAGTCGGTTCAAAGTCTATCCCAATATTATCGTTAGTTTTAGCAAATGTACCACTGCAAATTCGTTAAAGATTTCAGAATGTTTCGTCATTTCCAGACACTACTTTACAAATGAGTTGCTGTAGCTGGAATTTGTCGCTGCATTAATCAATTGTAGTTTCAAACTTAACGAGGTGCTTTACCATGTGGTCTCCTCATTGTATCATTTATCATCCGCTTCCAGCGAGCTATTACATTGTTACATTGTCAACACAATGGAGAAGAGGAGAAGATGTGGGGCGTGTCTGATGGGTGAAAATTAATAACGTAACCGTTGCACGCTCACATCGGCGCATAAGTAATAGTTATTTAATGAGTTTTTGGTCGGAATGCTGGCCAAAAAGTTGTTTGGCGCCATGGCATTTAATTAAAATTTGCGCCTAATTAAACGTCAAACGCGAACCGTGCCGTGCAGAGCTCAGCAGCTGACAGGACATTACTAGGCGCACCAGGCGTATGAGTGATTTGCATTTCCTCTCTTCAATAACTGGCCGTGTGTGTGCGGCTGTGTGTGTGTGTGGTTGTGTGTGTGTTGACTTGTGCCAAACCCATTGCTAAATTGTAAGCGTCTATTTAGTGGCCTGTTATATTTGTTGTTGCTCGTTTGCATTTTGACTGTTTGCAATTAATTGCAAATTAAAATTGATTTCGTGCTGCGCAAATATTTTGCATGGCCGCATTCAACATTGTTAACTGCGACAAACAGATATGCGAACACACACAATATGCCCGCATTTGCATGCATTTCTATTAATGCCCCCTAGAGTATGCAATAGATTTATGTATTGCCTTTTTTTCTTTCTATTTTCTCGCTGTTCGCCTAACTAATTGCAACCAAGTCGTGTGGCTGGCCAATTGTGGGCGGCACTGGGCGCTGGGCGTTGTGGGTGCGGCACCGGCGCCAATTAGTGTGCAATTTATGCAAGTGAAGTTGTGTGCTTTAATTGCCATCGCACTGCCGCGACGCGTGTGCGTGTCGAGTGCGGTTCGGGGAGTGGCAGATGAAGTGAAGTCAAATGTGATTCAAATTGAGTTATGCGAAAAACGAATCGATAGCCCGGTGGCCATGGGAACTGTCGGATATTTCAGACAAACGTATTGTCTGCCAGCTTAACAACATGGCAACAAAGCCGTGTCCGTTAAGAGTAGTCGACTATGGGATACGCTGCATTTGAAATGACAGATGTGTTCTTGTTCCTTCAAGCTATATTAATAAACATGGCTATTAATATCCTCTCATTGGTCAAAATTCTAAAAATATAATAATATATCAATTTGCAATCAAATCTCAACTGACGCATCTCTCCCTTGGTTAGGTATCTTCATTTTGAATCATCAACTTCACATCCAGTTTATATTTTATACTTTTGTATACATCAAACTCCTGCTCTGCTTTTACTCAAACTATACCTGTATTATGTAAAAAATAAACTTTTCTAACGTGCAATTTATCGAGCAAGAAACATGCAAACAATTGACAATTGGAAGTTTTTTTTTTTTTGTAATAAAAACTTTTCGAAATTGTAAAAGTTTCCCTGAGCAAATCTTTAAGGTGTATGTCTTTCTCAGCAGCTGTACGCTAAACTGAGCTTTCACTGTACCTTGTTGTCGCGACATCAAAATGTAGAACAACTTCTGTAAAAACTATAACAAGGCTACACTACATCAGTGCATTTTTGATGGCTTAAACAAAGAAATGACAAAGACGGCGGCACTTAATTGGAGTATTGTCAGTGAATTGATGAAAGGTGGTCATAAAAATGCGGCCACAATAAACCAGTGAATTATGGCAAAATCAATAAGAAGCAAACGTTGCCTAAAAAGCGTCTGTTGCCCCACCCGGGCAAAGACAGAATTGCACAATCGACAATTTGACAACAAATGATAAACAAAGCAATAATCGTTGACTTGCGTGGATAATATAATATAATAAGCCCGCAATTAGTGTCATGGATAGATCTGATAAGGCTGCCGCCAACTGTAGCCCCAAAAGCGTTCAGGCCAAGCAATTGGCATTGTGTAAACTCCGGCTCAAAGGATATGCTGGTATAAAAATGTATAAAAAGCGAAAGGATAATCGACTGACTCGAGCATATTAAGCACGAGTCGTTCGTGGTTCTTTTCTAATTCCAGCTCTTCCTTAGCGTATCCTTCCTCCTTTTTTTTTGTATTTTTTTTTGTGTGCAATCAAATTGAAAAAGTTGTTGGGGCGAAGGGCAAATCGCAATTCCACTTTTATTAATATTTCCATTTGCCTATGCGAATTTCAGCTCTGGGCTCTGAATGGAAAACTACTGCGCACTTGACTACAAATCGTAGTTTTTTTTTTTTTTTGCTTACTTTGCTATATATGCGTGCGTGTGTGTGTGTGTGTGTGTGTGTGTGTGTGAATTTCCACTTTTGTTCATTTGCCACATTCCCATTTCGCATTCTGAGTTACAGTTTCAATGGCATCGCCAAGGCTGAGTGGCTGCGTTGCCGAGAACTTTCCTAATACAAGATACTTAAAGGACGAACACAAATGATGTTGTAAGGCGACTACGCCCCCCCCCCCCACTCCCTACCATCCCAGCACAGCTCTTGTCCAAAAGAAAAAGAAGAGGGAGAAAAAAACTAAAGTCTTAAGTGAATTAAGAGCCAAACTTGTAACATTTTCTTTACCTCGTTATTTGTGTTTCTCAGGGATCTCAAGGTTCTTTCATTTAATGAGCGACCCTTTCGCGTGTGAAGTGTTCGAGGGGCTGGAATATTGAGTTCGTAAATAAAAACGGATTAGTTTTACGGCACCGAACAGCGCCCAGTAAATACCTATTAATGATTTTCCTGCCCACCTGTCTCAGTTTCTGTTTCCGTTTCCGTTTACGTTTCCTGGTTGCGTCTAAATTCAAGTGCGCCGCCTGCACTCGTTCCCGCTCTCGTCCTCGCCTTATTTAATAAAACAAGATTGATTGTTATGGCCCGGCAGAGTAACCAATCTAGCCGCAAGCTCACAGCCTGGCATCCTGTAGACAGAGCAGACCAGAGAAGCCAGCGAGCCAAAAGGCAGCCACTAAATAATTTTGTAGAAATTCTGTGGTGCCCAGAGCCAGCTCCATGGCTGCGATTTGGGCTGGGTCAATGATAAAGCACGGGAAATACTGGTCTAATTACTATATATTTGCCTTTGCTGCGAGCATTTGTGTGCGTGTGTTTTTAAATTGATGAAATTGAATTTAGAATTGCCTTCGTATATATCCGCAGTTGGCGAGCATTTCAACACAATTTCTGCGCAGCTTTCTTTTCCAACTTTATTCAATTGGCCCGAACGATGCCGGGTAATTTCTTCTTGTAAATAAATACTTATGAAGAATTCACATGCATCAAGTATTTTTGTTTTAATGTATATTATGCTGAAAAGAAAATGAAATGGTTTCGTTTCGTACTAAACTGTGATTCGGATTAAGTTTGTATTAACTCTGATAATATATTTAAGACCGATGTTATTTTTGATCACAAGAGAGTTTTTCTAGTTTTAAGCTCTGCTACTCTCTCATGATTTATCCTTAAATTAGCATTAGATATCAATTTCTTTTTCGATAAAAAAAACGAGAGTGTACAGATCTTCAGCACTCCGAAATTTAAAAACCCTTGTGCTGACATGTGAAGCTCGTAAATGCTGAGTTTGTTGAAAATATCTTGAAAAGGAGAATATGTTACCATTATTTGCAATCGATTTTTTTATATAGCTTTATAATATAGGACGATTTTGATAAGACTTATGCCAATCTTAAGACGATAGCTTTACAGCTGAGCGAACAGTTCGCATAGAAAGTCGATTCTGGCTTTATCAACGACTGTTGATGCTGATCTACAAAATATTTATATACTTATAGCACCTTTTAAAAGGGCGTACAATAAATGGGAAATGATTTACTCGCTAATATAATCCATCAGAGCAAGAGAAATGGGACTTGTAACTATTTTACTTTAAATGGGAATTTATGGTATAAATGTGACACACGATTTTTATTTCCGAATCGGTTTATATATAGATATTATTATTTCCATATTCTGGCGGCCACTTGCTGCAAATTTGAGGCAGCCACGTAAAATATTGCACATGAGGCCCAAATAAAAGGCTGGCTGCAGGAATACGTTTCTGGCGAAAATAGAAAATACTATGAGCAGACACGAAGGCAACTGCCACGTCGCATAATTTGTGGAAATTTTTTCTAAGGGGGGGGGAGGGTTGTGGGAAGAGGAGTAGGTTAAGCTGGGGTGGAGG